CTAAGCAATTATGAGAAATCCTTAGTAATTTATCTTTGAAGTAATATCTACATGAGCTTCTGAAATCTATAGATTCAAAGAAGATTGATAGAACAGAAAAGGAAGCATGTAAATAAAATAATGGATAAAGGTTGAGAAAAGTAGCGGGGTAGGAAGGAGAAAAGAAAAGTACTATTAGCCTCATATTTTGCTTTTTTTATTTAATGCATAGTAAATGACTTTAAATAACCTAAAATTTTTAACATTCTTTGGGAATTTAAAAAAAAAAGTTGCTTTTTAAAGATCCTACTGGGATCTTTAGACTTTATACACACTCTGCACAAAAACCTTAGGATGACTTTAAAAACAAAGAATAAACCTATAAGCATGATAACAAACAGTATAAAATCTACAATGAAAATATGCTTTCTCCATACATTATAAAACTTTAAAGCAAATATTTCAGAAAACGTATCAGGAAAAGACTATAGTTTCATTATAGGGGAATGACCAAAATAACAGAAGTCATCAGATTAGAATTACCTCATCTTCCCACCAACAAATTGAATAACCCACGCATACATGTTCCCATAAAATTATCCTTTCCTCCTATCACAATATATTGTATAGTGAATCCAGTTCCATTTGCCTCCCTAGGATTTTGTTGCTGGAATGACTCTTTCTCATCTGTATCATAAATTTTTTCCACTGTACTAGTTTATTTTTCAGTTCACAGACACATCTTGAAATACTTCTCAGCTTAAAGCCAAACCAAAGCAACAAAAAACCTCAACCTTTCCTCTGTCCTACCTTTATTGGCTGCAGCCTCATGGATCTGCTTATCTTTAAAACAGACTCCACAGAATTGTGGCTATGCTTGCTCTTTCCTTGTCCCCATCTTCCATTCTGTCTTCAATGCATACTAATCATCCTGACTCCCCATAGCTCTTCTGGAAGAATAGTCATCGATGATCCCCATCTTGCCGCACACATGGCCAGATCTCTGTCAGGTCCCATCATTCTCCCTCAGCAGCGTTGGATAGCATTGATTATCTTGTCCTTGAATTACTCTCCTCTTGACGTTCACCCCTGGTTTTGTTTCTGCACCAGGGATGGCTCCCCGATTTAGTTGGTTTGGGATGCTCTAACAAGATACCACACACTGGAAGAATTAAATAACAGACACTTACTCCTAACAGTTCTTGAGACTGGGAAGTCCAAGATCGAGGTGCCAGCAGATTCAATATCTAGTGAGGGCCTGCTTTCTGGCTTGCAGGTGGCTCCCTCTCACTATGCTTCACGTGATGGAGAGAGAGAAGGCTCTGATTTCATTCTCTTCTCATAAGGACACTAATCCCATCAGGGGAACCTAATACCAATGACTTACTTCATCTAAATACAATTACCTCCCCAAAACCACTCCTCCAAATAGCATCACTTATTTTCTTGTCATTGCTAGAATATACACAATAAGCTTTTTTCCACTGCAGGACATTTGTAAATTCCCTTCCCTCTGTCTTTCCCATGATCTTCAGGCCTTTTCTTTTAGAGTATCCCTGCTGGGATGAAATGATACCTGCTCAGAGAATCTTTTCCTGTCCACCCTAAAATGCGTACCAACTATCCATTAGGATATTACTCTCTTCTTCAGTAGCAAATAAGCTAGAGGACAAAGGCTTTAACTGGACCATGAAACCCCCAGAATCTAAAACAATGTGCTTCAATACTTGCTGAATGAGTTAGTAAGTCACTGCCTTGTACCACAGTGTCATAACCACTCCGCCACCTGCTGGCCCTGTGATTAGACATAACCCTGCTGCTCCTACTAAAGCATGTCCCATTGTGAACATCTACACAAAGAGCAGATACAGCCTTTCAAGACTTCCACTATGCCTTTTCCTTTGCTCTTATTTGTTCCTTTCAAATCTTAGACTTGAGGAAATTTTATTAAAGAGACCCAAAACTTACTACCTATCTGTCTCCATTAGGTTTTTAAATTTTCAAGGTAATATTTCTTAAGCTTCCTACATGTAAAAAAAAAAAAAAATTAAAAGAAGAAACAGAGCATTTTGAAATCACATTAGAGAGTTTTCATTTCTGGCTTACTGGATAGGTCTCTGAGTGCAAGTTGCCCGAAAAGTCTACATTTCTTCACTCTGTGCACATTCTACCTCCCACTAGGCCTAGCTTTAGTGAGATCCTTTTTGATTAGACGTTTCCTTTCATACTGGTAAGATGAATGTTTAAGGAGACTTCAAAGTATACTTGATCAGTTGAAGATATTCTTTACAAAAATAGTTAATGCAACACCTTTATCTTAATGAATAAGACAAGATTTCAAAACAAACGTGCTGTTTTAAAATAGTTACACTGCTAATTTTTTGAGGGTAAACCAAGGTCACTTTTTCATGGGCGACATACATTTAGATTTCCTTAATACAAGTAAAATAAATCTAGAAAATGGTTAGATGATTCCAAGGGAGGTATAACCATTTCCTATGGTCCTCTGAGGGAAAAAAAAACATAAATACTATTCTAAAGGGTGCTGGACTATCATAGAGTGACTACAAATCAGATTTATTTGCAGTTGATAAGTGTCATATCTTGGTTTTTGGATATTCACTTATAGACCTATTTTACTGAAAACTTACTAAACTCTAAGTCATGCCCAAAACTAAGCACTGAGGGTGCTTTATGTGAATTAGATATGGTCCTGGCTCTTGGAAAATTGGAATAAAAAAAAATCCCTGGAGCCAACCCTGTGGCCTAGTGGTTAAGGGAGCTTAATCTCACATGACTGACTGAGCAACTTAGTTCCAGGCCTGGAAACTTGAAAAACATCCTAGGTAGACATGCTTGTGTTCCCCAAATCAAGATGAGATAGATCAATATAGGAAAAGGGATTGTGATATAAACGTGCCCTCTGTCTGCTGTCTATCTATATGTCTAGCTCTCTCTCTCTCTCTCTCTCTCACTCACTCTGGTAAATGTAAGCACTCTCTGGTACTTACAATAACAAAATCTTTCATTTAAAAATCAACCCTGAGTTGCCATCTGGAATATATGAGAATTTCAGTGTCGCTAAAGCAAAAGTTTCTAGGGAAGGTACAATTCATTAAACTGGGTGTGAAATCAAAGAAATAAATTGAGGCCAAATTGTATGCAAGGTAGCATGTATTCTACATAACACAACTATGTTTTTGGATTTTATAGTGAAGGCAGTGATGAGCCAACAGAAATCTTTTAGTCAGAAAACATGTGATTAAACATTTTCTGATTTTTTGTTTGTTTGTTTGTTTTAAGGCTTCTGCTATGGGGTGTGTGCACTTGTTAGAGAGAAACAGTGAGAGGGAAAGTGAGAAATCATCCCTGGGGAAATGGCCACACCACAGCCTCTTCTCCATTTTCCTTCTGGGGGTTTGGGCACACACACACATGTGTTTCAAGCTGCCGGGTCTGGGACTTGAACTGTGGTTAGTCATGTGTTAGGCCAGTGCTATAAACACCCCGTCACCTGCTGGCCCTGTGATTAGACATTTTTAGGAAGACAAATTAGATGACAGTAAGAAATAGTGTTGGAAGAACATTATGAGGCTGTTGCAGTTGAAAGGCATCAAAGACCTGGACAAAGAAGGATTATATGAATGGATTAAAAAATTGTTACATTTAAAAGATATTTCTCATATATTTAAGGGTATTAGGTGTTTTATTGGAAGAGAAAACTTCAAGATAAAAGAGCAATTATTATAAGATTTTGGGTTTGGAAACATAAATGAACAGAATTATACTTAGCCAACGGGGCTATAAAGTTCAATTGGGTACATAGCTTTGAGAAGGAAAATAATTAGTTCTTTTTAGAATATATAGGACTGGGGACAGCCTCATAGTCTAGTGATTAAGGGAGTCTGATTCCACATGGCTGACTGCAGTTCAATTCTAGCTCAGCAGCTTGAAAAACATGCCTGATGCATGTGTACCCCAAGTCCCAACAGTTGAAGAAATGGAGAAGGAATTCTGACTAGACCACATCCCACTGGTGGGTGCTTTCTTCCTCCTTTTCTCACTTTCTGTCTGTATCTCTTTCTCTGGTGAGTATACATGCCCTCTGGCGATTAATAAAAGAATATTTGGGGCTTAAAGTGTCTGGAAGCCATTCATGTATACATCTCTTGTTATCGCATATCCTCCTGTTGAAAGTACCCTTTATAAGGGTAGAAGAGCAGTAGTGTGACCTCGGCTGATACAGTTATGCTTCAAATAGATTAGGTGAGTTCCGGTCATGAGGAGCTCTGAATTTAAACATCGCAGAAATGGTAAGCATTATTATTATTCAGATCAACTTTGATAGACCCAATTTTCTGAGTCAGCATAACATTCCTTAAAATGCATTTAGACTTCTTGGTCATTTAAAACTTCTTTGATTCAAAAATTTTATATCATTGGCTTTATCTGAGGAAGCTACGTTGCTTGGTATTAAGAGTGTAGCTTCTTAATTCAGTCAAAACAGGTTTTAATCTTAATTCTATTACCTAATTATATAATTTTGGACAGTTTTCTTAATGGAAATAATGATTACCACAGCATACATAACTGTTAAGAATAAATGAGCTAATTTAAATAAAAAACTTTAAATAAAGAACAACTTCAGATATATAAGTCCTAAGTCAATGTCTATTTATATGCAGTTCTAAGAAAGCTAAAAATTATGTTATTTTTCATTTCCTGAAAACTTTATTTTTTTCTGTCTCACAAGTGTTTCTTGGTTGGGAAATATAATGAAGGCCGTAATTAATTTGAAAATTATCTATTAAGAAATTTCTAGTCAGATAAAGAAAATCTCCAAAGGAGAGAGGCATACATAAATGTTTCTGGGAAAAGTATAAACCGTCTGTATCTTTCCCATAAAAACCCTTTGGAAATGTTTTTTTCTTCTCCTGGTGGTTCTGGTGAGCCTGCTAATCTGGAGTCAGCCTGTGGCCTCCTAGATAAGGCCATGACCCAATTTGGGATCTCTTTTCCAGATGCACAAGGAATGAAAATGGACAGATCTGATGCTGAACCATCCTCAGGATATGCTGCCATGGTTTCTGCTGGTGAGATATTCAGCTTTCCCTGATTTCTGTCATGCTTAAGCTCTTATTAGATAAGGATCATTTTGATTTCCTGAGCCACACAATTCTAAAATAATTTTTTTAACCTTCCTATGCTACTTTTTAAAAAGCTGCCAGAGGGTACATGTGCTAACTGGAAAGAGACAGGGAGAGAGAAGGTGAGAAAGCATCCCTACAGGGGATGGTCAGACGATCCCTTCTCCTCCATTTCTCCCTTCTTTTGGGATTTTGGGTGTGCACGTGCACACACACACACACACACACACACACACACAACCACATTTTAAGGCTTCTGCTATGGGGTGTGTGCACTTGTTAGAGAGAAACAGTGAGAGGGAAAGTGAGAAATCATCCCTGGGGAAATGGCCACACCACAGCCTCTTCTCCATTTTCCTTCTGGGGGTTTGGGCACACACACACATGTGTTTCAAGCTGCCGGGTCTGGGACTTGAACTGTGGTTAGTCATGTGTTAGGCCAGTGCTATAAACACCCCGTCACCTGCTGGCCCTGTGATTAGACATTTTTAGGAAGACAAATTAGATGACAGTAAGAAATAGTGTTGGAAGAACATTATGAGGCTGTTGCAGTTGAAAGGCATCAAAGACCTGGACAAAGAAGGATTATATGAATGGATTAAAAAATTGTTACATTTAAAAGATATTTCTCATATATTTAAGGGTATTAGGTGTTTTATTGGAAGAGAAAACTTCAAGATAAAAGAGCAATTATTATAAGATTTTGGGTTTGGAAACATAAATGAACAGAATTATACTTAGCCAACGGGGCTATAAAGTTCAATTGGGTACATAGCTTTGAGAAGGAAAATAATTAGTTCTTTTTAGAATATATAGGACTGGGGACAGCCTCATAGTCTAGTGATTAAGGGAGTCTGATTCCACATGGCTGACTGCAGTTCAATTCTAGCTCAGCAGCTTGAAAAACATGCCTGATGCATGTGTACCCCAAGTCCCAACAGTTGAAGAAATGGAGAAGGAATTCTGACTAGACCACATCCCACTGGTGGGTGCTTTCTTCCTCCTTTTCTCACTTTCTGTCTGTATCTCTTTCTCTGGTGAGTATACATGCCCTCTGGCGATTAATAAAAGAATATTTGGGGCTTAAAGTGTCTGGAAGCCATTCATGTATACATCTCTTGTTATCGCATATCCTCCTGTTGAAAGTACCCTTTATAAGGGTAGAAGAGCAGTAGTGTGACCTCGGCTGATACAGTTATGCTTCAAATAGATTAGGTGAGTTCCGGTCATGAGGAGCTCTGAATTTAAACATCGCAGAAATGGTAAGCATTATTATTATTCAGATCAACTTTGATAGACCCAATTTTCTGAGTCAGCATAACATTCCTTAAAATGCATTTAGACTTCTTGGTCATTTAAAACTTCTTTGATTCAAAAATTTTATATCATTGGCTTTATCTGAGGAAGCTACGTTGCTTGGTATTAAGAGTGTAGCTTCTTAATTCAGTCAAAACAGGTTTTAATCTTAATTCTATTACCTAATTATATAATTTTGGACAGTTTTCTTAATGGAAATAATGATTACCACAGCATACATAACTGTTAAGAATAAATGAGCTAATTTAAATAAAAAACTTTAAATAAAGAACAACTTCAGATATATAAGTCCTAAGTCAATGTCTATTTATATGCAGTTCTAAGAAAGCTAAAAATTATGTTCTTTTTCATTTCCTGAAAACTTTATTTTTTTCTGTCTCACAAGTGTTTCTTGGTTGGGAAATATAATGAAGGCCGTAATTAATTTGAAAATTATCTATTAAGAAATTTCTAGTCAGATAAAGAAAATCTCCAAAGGAGAGAGGCATACATAAATGTTTCTGGGAAAAGTATAAACCGTCTGTATCTTTCCCATAAAAACCCTTTGGAAATGTTTTTTTCTTCTCCTGGTGGTTCTGGTGAGCCTGCTAATCTGGAGTCAGCCTGTGGCCTCCTAGATAAGGCCATGACCCAATTTGGGATCTCTTTTCCAGATGCACAAGGAATGAAAATGGACAGATCTGATGCTGAACCATCCTCAGGATATGCTGCCATGGTTTCTGCTGGTGAGATATTCAGCTTTCCCTGATTTCTGTCATGCTTAAGCTCTTATTAGATAAGGATCATTTTGATTTCCTGAGCCACACAATTCTAAAATAATTTTTTTAACCTTCCTATGCTACTTTTTAAAAAGCTGCCAGAGGGTCCATGTGCTAACTGGAAAGAGACAGGGAGAGAGAAGGTGAGAAAGCATCCCTACAGGGGATGGTCAGACGATCCCTTCTCCTCCATTTCTCCCTTCTTTTGGGATTTTGGGTGTGCACGTGCACACACACACACACACACACACACACACACAACCACATCCCTGGCATATTTCTTAAGCCTCTGGGTCCAGGACACCAACTGCATGGTTGGCCACCTGTCAAACCACTATGACAACAGTTTACCCTCCTTTGTCACCCTTATTGTCTGTTAGTTGAAATTGGAGTTCGTTGTTGATAACCAAGTATCCTACATGATATAAAAATGGATACTATAGAAGAGCTGTAGAAAAATGACCTCAGGGGGACCAGCAGCTGACCTAGTGGTTAAGGCACTGGACTCCCACATAATTGACTACAGTTCAAGTCCCAGACCTGGGGCTTGTAACTCATGCCAGGTGCATGTTTGTGTATGCCCCAAATCCCAATAGAATGGAAGAGAAGGGATTGCAGTGTGCCCATCTTCCCTGGGAAGGGGGGTGGGGGTGGTGATTGCTCACTTTCTGTCTCTGGAGAGTGCATGCACTCTAAAGGAAAAAAATAATTCTTGAAAAAGAGAAAAAAGCTCATCAAACATTGGATATTTGGAATTAAATACTAAATTGTCATGCTCGGAATGGATAAATGAAATTGACATCTGCATTTCTATTTTGAATGAGACAGAATTAGTCCAGGCCTCTTGGTGTTTATCTCTAAGTAAACCATATCACACCACAGGGCCTCATAACATATGCTTTTCATTTGTTTGTTTGTTTTTTATAAAATGTAAGACAGTAACGGTTAAGGCAGAACAATATAAAGGAGATGAGGAATGCATTTAACAAATAAAAGATTGCTTTCAAATGATTGACTTAAAATTTAAAAAAAAAGAATAGCAAACTATAATTTGAGATTTTTACCACTTAGAACATTTTTTTTTTTTTTTAAAGATAAGGCCTCACATACTGCAATCCTTCTCTTCAGCCTACCAGCTGGGATTACAGGTGCACACCACCACACTCAGTCTTTGGGTTGACTAGGAATTGACTCTGGGTCTCCCATGGAGTTATACCCTGCAAAGAACAGTGTCTTAACACTGCACATACCATGTGACTGGACCCACTTAAGTCTGTTTGGTCATCACTATGGAATAGCATCTTACTGTTTGCAACAGGGCCAAGAACACTTGGAGAACCCCAAATTCCCAAATCTCTTGGAAATTATCTGCTTTTGTGACTGAAGATAATGTGGTTCCCTTATATAAAAGAAAGGAAAAAATTTCCTCATACCATCCTCCTTGTGTTGTTATTTAAAGTAATATACATCTAAATTTGAGGAAACCTAAAATTGGTAAAAGAAAAAAAAAAAAAAGATTAGTGAAGATAAAGAGTTCTGTCCAGAAGGATTTGAGGGTAGCCTAAAGAATAGAGTTTGGTTTATCATGGAACTTTGAGTGTGACAACACACCTATGCCTGGTCTAGTACCTGACCCAACAACCTAAGGTGACAACGTGGGCCCAGGTTTAGTTCACTCATCTGGCTGTGAAAGGGGATTGCGGGCCATTCCCTGGACTCAGGCAAACTTGGCACACGTGAAAGAAGCCTGAGCAACCTCCCAAGCAAGTCAATTAGCATGTTTCTTTTCTTCCTTTCTCTCTCTCTTTCTTTCTTTCTTTTTTTTTTTTTTTTTGCCTTGCATGCTAGTTGGCTATCACCAATCCCTGAAATCAAGAACTTGCTTTGGATCAGTTAACTAAGAAATGGAAAACCTCTTGCCCAAATTACAGATTGACTCTGAAAATATGCAGACAACAGCAATAAAAGGGCTACTGGAATATTACAGCCTCATTAATAGCAAGTCCCTAAGGATAAAAGGAAAATTCTCTGATTAGGCAAAATCTTCAACCATTACATTTTCTTTTCTACTCAGCTTAAAAGGAGTGATGGCCTAGGGTCAGGATCTACACTAACTCACGAGCTGTGACTAATGGACTAGAAAATTATGTTCTTGGAAGGCTTCAGACTGGAGCATTGGACAAGGTTAGTCTTTCCTCTTTATTTCTACCACACGTGATTTGGGGAATAATTTTGTTTCAACTCTGAGCCCTCCATAAAGTCCATGATACTCCTTAAAGATACAGGCCTTGAGAGAAAAAAGCCCCAGTACATTAACTCTTGTTAAGTTTTAGCTGGACATTGTTTTATGTTGCCTCTTTTTGGCAAACCATGTTTTTTTTGCTATTACAAGTGGGTCAGTTTTGTAGACAAGGATAATTTTGGAGGTAAATATATATGAGGAGAAGTCTTATGCTTATGAGTGTGTGTGTGCGTTGGTGGTGTAGCAATAAAGTGACACCAAGTAAATAATAAAAATAAATGGTGTGTGTGTGTGTGTGTGTTGATTATTTGTCCAGGCTTAATTTTCTTGAGATGCCTTCTGTGATTCTGGCAAATTCCAGCAAAGCTACCGATCACAGTATTCTGGCTTTAGTGTTTAGAGTGCGCAGGTGACTCAGTCTAGGTCAACTTCTTTCCCAGGGTTTTGACTGGCGTCGAGCTACTCAGGGATGTAAAGCCTTTCATCGTGACCGACACAATGTAGTTCTCCATAGAGAACATTACTTATTTTTCAAAATTGCTATAATTAATGGAATTGCACATTTCCTAAGACCTGTCTTATGTTTTCTAACTCCTCTTTTGATCAGTTGCGGTGCTTTCCTCTTTCTT